AAAAATGGCAGCAGTTGCAATCAAAGCGGTTCGCAGAAAAGAGAAAGTTTGGCTTTGTAGATGCTCAGAAAGAAGATATGCCAGCTGAACATATAAGAAAGATTATTAGAGATCATGGTGATATGAGTAGTAGAAAGTATCGTCATGACAAACGTGTCTACTTAGGGTAAGTTGGGGAAGATTGTGAAATCACATTTTTCATAAATATTTCTATTGTAAACTTCTATAAACATTTCTATTATAAATATTTCTATTATAAATTTTTATAAATATTTTTATTATAGAGCTTTGAAGTATATGCCACATGCTGTTATGAAACTGTTAGAAAATATGCCTATGCCTTGGGAACAAATAAGAGATGTAAAGGTTTTATATCATATTACTGGAGCTATTACATTCGTCAATGAGATTCCTTGGGTTATAGAACCTGTATATATAGCTCAATGGGGGTAAAACATGAGTAATTTTTCTATCACCTAATACTTTATAAATTATATTTGAAAGTTTCAATTTCCTTTTAGTACTATGTGGATCATGATGAGACGAGAAAAAAGAGATCGTAGACACTTCAAGAGAATGAGATTCCCACCTTTTGATGATGAGGAGCCTCCTCTAGATTACGCCGATAACGTTTTGGATGTTGAACCATTAGAAGCTATACAAATTGAACTTGATTCAGAAGAAGACGAATCTGTGGCATCATGGTTTTATGAACACAAGCCATTAATCGGAACAAAGTAAGTTGCTACAGAAATAATTATATAAAAGTAAAATTTTTTTATTAGGGCATTGTATCAGCTTATTTGCTCTTTAATGATGAAAAGCGTAGGGGTCCTGAAATCAACTGGACATGTGAGTTGACAACTTGGATTGCTATATATTCTTGTAATATATAGGCTATCCAGTTGGACAAAATGCTGTACTGAAGAAACATTCCTAAGAATATAATTTTTTATTACATATGTAATATAAAATCTGAATGATAAAACATATTCCAGACATGTTAATGGATCTACATACCGGAGATGGAATCTAACACTACCACAAATGGCCACTTTGTACCGTTTGGCTAATCAATTGTTAACCGACTTAGTAGATCAGAACTTCTTTTATCTATTTGATCCCAAGTCATTCTTTACTGCAAAAGCTTTAAATATGGCAATCCCAGGAGGACCGAAATTTGAACCATTGGTAAAAGATTCGAATGCTGCTGACGAAGATTGGAACGAGTTTAATGACATAAATAAAATCATCATTAGGCAACCTATTAGAACAGAATATAGAATTGCGTTTCCTTATTTATATAATAATATGCCTCATTTTGTGCATCTTTCATGGTGAGTCGTAATTTTTATACTTTTATCGTTAAATTTATATTCCACATAAGTTTTAAGATCTAACGGTTGATATGTAAAGATCTTACTAGCAATGTGGTAAAAAAAGTCTAGTGATTGTTATTCGTATCTTTTGTGAAGATAATAAAAAGAAACTGCTGACATCACTTACAAAATTTATCTAAAAATATTTTCTATATGTGTATATTTATTTTAAATTTAATATATAATTTACAGGTATCATGCACCAAATGTTGTATATATAAAGACCGAAGATCCAGATTTACCTGCATTCTATTTCGATCCACTGATCAATCCAATCTCTCATAGAAATTCACTGAAGGTAACTTTTAATTAAATGAGTACATTAAATGATTACATTAATTTTTATGTTTTATTTATTTGTTTCAGACGATGGAGCCACAAATTGAGGATGATGAAGATTTTGTTTTGCCTGGTGAAGTGCAACCATTCCTTCAAGAGATACCTCTTTATACCGATAATACAGCGAATGGAATAGCACTTTTATGGGCGCCAAGGCCATTTAACACACGTTCCGGTAGAACGAGAAGGGCTATTGATATTCCATTGGTCAAATCATGGTACAGAGAACATTGTCCGCCCGGACAACCTGTAAAAGTGCGAGTCAGTTATCAGAAATTGCTGAAATATTTCGTATTGAACGCTTTGAAGCATAGGCCACCGAAACCGCAGAAGAAACGCTATTTATTCCGTTCATTCAAGTCAACCAAGTTCTTCCAGACGACAACGATAGATTGGGTAGAAGCTGGTCTACAAGTATGTCGCCAAGGATATAACATGTTGAATCTATTAATACATCGAAAAAATCTGAATTATCTTCATTTGGATTACAATTTTAACTTGAAGCCCGTCAAGACGCTTACGACGAAAGAGAGAAAGAAATCGCGCTTTGGTAACGCTTTCCATCTGTGTCGTGAGATTCTTCGGTTGACCAAACTCATTATCGATTCTCACGTTCAGTATCGATTGAATAATGTAGATGCTTTTCAGCTCGCTGATGGACTGCAATATATTTTCGCGCACGTTGGTCAATTAACCGGCATGTATCGTTACAAGTATAAATTAATGCGTCAGATTAGGATGTGCAAAGATTTGAAACATTTAATCTATTATCGCTTCAACACCGGGCCAGTTGGCAAAGGACCAGGTTGTGGATTCTGGGCGCCTGGCTGGCGCGTCTGGTTGTTCTTCATGAGAGGCATTACTCCGCTGTTGGAGAGATGGCTGGGCAATTTATTATCAAGACAATTCGAAGGTCGCCATTCGAAAGGTGTGGCGAAAACAGTGACGAAGCAACGAGTCGAATCGCACTTTGATCTCGAGTTACGAGCATCCGTTATGCATGACATAGTCGATATGATGCCTGAAGGAATAAAGCAGAACAAAGCGCGGACTATTCTTCAACATCTGAGCGAAGCCTGGCGTTGTTGGAAAGCAAATATCCCATGGAAAGTGCCAGGTCTACCAATTCCAATTGAAAACATGATATTGCGTTATGTCAAGATGAAAGCCGACTGGTGGACGAATACAGCTCATTATAACCGAGAGAGAATTCGACGCGGTGCCACGGTGGATAAAACTGTCTGTAAGAAAAATCTCGGTCGTTTGACACGTCTCTATCTGAAGGCTGAACAAGAACGACAGCATAATTATTTGAAGGATGGTCCATACATATCACCGGAGGAAGCCGTAGCCATATTTACTACTTCGGTACATTGGCTAGAATCTCGAAGATTTGCGCCGATACCTTTCCCGCCGTTATCTTATAAACATGACACGAAACTGCTGATATTGGCTTTGGAACGCCTGAAAGAAGCCTATAGTGTTAAATCTAGATTGAATCAAAGTCAACGGGAAGAGCTAGGTTTGATAGAACAAGCATATGATAATCCGCATGAAGCACTATCTAGAATTAAAAGACATTTGCTCACACAGAGAGCTTTTAAGGAGGTTGGCATCGAGTTTATGGATCTTTATAGTCATTTGATTCCTGTGTACGACGTAGAGCCGCTCGAAAAAATTACGGATGCCTATCTCGATCAGTATTTGTGGTATGAAGCAGACAAGAGGCGACTATTTCCACCATGGGTGAAACCGGCCGATACAGAACCACCACCACTCCTTGTCTATAAGTGGTGCCAAGGTATCAATAATCTCCAGGATGTGTGGGATGTCAGTGAGGGCGAGTGCAATGTATTGCTCGAATCGAAATTTGAAAAATTGTATGAGAAGATCGATCTTACGTTGCTCAACAGACTGTTGCGTTTAATAGTCGATCACAACATCGCTGATTACATGACAGCGAAAAATAATGTTGTTATCAATTATAAGGATATGAATCATACTAACAGTTATGGCATTATTAGGGGATTGCAATTCGCATCCTTTATTGCTCAATATTATGGACTGGTATTGGATCTGCTTGTACTAGGTCTTCAACGAGCCAGTGAGATGGCCGGTCCGCCGCAAATGCCAAACGATTTTTTAACATTCCAGGATGTCGCTTCCGAGACAGCACATCCGATCCGACTGTATTGTCGGTATGTCGATAGAATACATCTATTTCTGCGCTTCTCTGCCGACGAAGCGAGAGATCTTATTCAGCGTTATCTCACTGAACATCCTGATCCAAACAATGAGAACATTGTTGGATATAACAATAAAAAGTGCTGGCCGCGGGACGCCCGTATGAGGCTGATGAAACACGACGTGAATCTGGGTCGCGCCGTTTTTTGGGATATCAAGAATCGTTTACCGCGTTCTACCACCACTATCCAATGGGAGAATAGCTTTGTCAGCGTCTATAGCAAAGACAATCCGAATTTGTTATTTAACATGAGCGGCTTTGAATGTAGAATTCTGCCCAAATGTAGAACAACTCACGAGGAATTTACGCATCGAGACGGCGTCTGGAATCTTCAAAACGAGATAACAAAGGAGAGAACGGCGCAATGCTTTTTACGCGTTGATGATGAGAGCTTGCAGCGTTTCCACAATCGTGTCAGACAAATCTTGATGGCTTCGGGTTCGACTACTTTCACAAAAATTGTGAACAAATGGAATACCGCGTTGATCGGTTTAATGACTTATTTCAGAGAAGCGGTGGTAAATACGCAAGAATTATTAGATCTGTTGGTCAAGTGCGAAAATAAAATTCAGACACGTATCAAAATCGGATTGAACTCGAAAATGCCTTCGCGTTTTCCGCCTGTCGTCTTTTACACACCCAAGGAATTGGGCGGTCTAGGAATGCTGTCGATGGGTCATGTTTTGATACCTCAATCAGACTTAAGATGGTCAAAACAAACTGACGTAGGGATTACGCATTTTCGTTCGGGTATGAGCCATGACGAGGATCAATTGATTCCGAACTTGTACCGTTACATACAACCGTGGGAATCAGAATTTATCGATTCTCAACGCGTTTGGGCAGAGTACGCTTTGAAACGGCAAGAGGCCAACGCCCAAAATCGCAGGCTCACTCTAGAAGATCTCGAAGACAGTTGGGATCGCGGTATTCCCCGAATAAACACGCTATTCCAGAAGGACCGCCATACATTAGCCTATGACAAGGGCTGGCGTATTCGTACCGAGTTCAAACAATATCAAGTATTGAAACAGAATCCGTTTTGGTGGACTCATCAACGTCACGACGGAAAACTGTGGAACCTAAACAATTACAGAACTGACATGATCCAGGCGCTCGGAGGTGTCGAGGGCATTCTGGAGCATACTCTTTTCAAAGGCACATATTTTCCGACATGGGAAGGTCTATTCTGGGAAAAGGCATCTGGTTTCGAGGAGTCTATGAAATATAAGAAGCTGACAAACGCTCAGCGTTCCGGTCTCAATCAAATTCCCAATCGTCGATTCACTCTGTGGTGGTCGCCTACCATTAATCGTGCCAACGTTTACGTCGGTTTTCAAGTGCAGCTTGATTTGACGGGAATATTCATGCACGGTAAAATACCGACTCTAAAGATTTCGTTGATCCAAATATTCCGCGCTCACTTGTGGCAAAAAGTACACGAATCTATCGTGATGGATCTCTGTCAGGTATTTGATCAGGAACTGGACGCGCTGGAAATCGAGACTGTGCAAAAGGAGACGATACATCCGCGAAAATCTTACAAAATGAACTCTTCGTGCGCCGATATTCTGTTGTTCTCTGCTTACAAGTGGAACGTGTCTCGACCATCTCTTCTCGCTGATTCCAAGGATGTGATGGATAACACAACTACGCAAAAGTATTGGATCGATGTTCAATTGAGATGGGGCGATTATGACTCACATGACATCGAGCGATACGCTCGTGCAAAATTCCTAGACTACACAACGGATAACATGTCTATCTATCCGTCACCCACCGGTCTTCTCATAGCCATCGATCTGGCGTACAATTTGCATAGTGCCTATGGTAACTGGTTCCCTGGCTGCAAACCACTCATACAACAAGCCATGGCGAAGATCATGAAGGCGAATCCTGCCTTGTATGTGTTACGCGAACGTATCCGCAAGGCATTGCAATTGTACTCGTCCGAACCGACGGAGCCTTACCTCTCTTCACAAAACTACGGCGAACTCTTCTCCAATCAAATCATATGGTTCGTCGACGATACAAACGTATATCGTGTGACAATTCACAAAACTTTTGAGGGCAATTTAACAACGAAACCGATCAACGGTGCAATCTTCATCTTCAATCCGCGCACAGGACAACTCTTTCTGAAGATTATTCACACCTCTGTCTGGGCGGGCCAAAAGCGTTTAGGTCAGCTGGCCAAGTGGAAGACCGCCGAGGAAGTTGCCGCATTGATTCGCTCTCTGCCAGTAGAAGAACAACCGAAACAGATTATCGTCACTAGAAAGGGAATGTTAGATCCATTGGAAGTGCACTTGCTAGATTTCCCCAACATTGTCATCAAAGGCTCCGAGTTGCAATTACCGTTTCAGGCGTGTCTTAAAGTGGAGAAGTTTGGTGATCTGATTTTAAAAGCGACCGAGCCGCAAATGGTATTGTTTAATCTTTATGATGACTGGTTAAAGACCATTTCGTCTTACACTGCATTCTCGCGGCTGATTCTAATTCTGCGCGCTCTACACGTCAATACCGAGAGAACTAAAGTCGTTCTTAAACCAGACAAAACTACCATCACCGAACCGCATCATATATGGCCGTCGTTGACGGATGACGAATGGATTAAAGTGGAAGTGCAGCTGAAGGATCTGATATTGGCGGATTACGGCAAGAAGAACAACGTCAATGTCGCGTCGCTCACTCAATCTGAGATTCGTGATATTATTCTGGGTATGGAAATCAGCGCACCATCTGCGCAACGACAGCAGATTGCTGAAATTGAGAAGCAGACCAAGGAACAAAGTCAATTGACCGCTACCACCACGCGAACGGTGAATAAGCATGGTGACGAGATCATCACCGCAACCACGTCCAACTACGAGACGCAGACTTTCAGCTCGAAGACCGAGTGGCGAGTACGTGCTATTTCTGCGACTAACCTTCATCTCAGAACGAATCACATCTACGTCTCATCTGACGATATCAAAGAGACCGGCTACACTTACATTCTTCCTAAGAATGTGTTAAAGAAATTTGTCACAATCTCTGATCTGCGAGCGCAGATCGCTGGTTATTTATATGGCATCAGTCCGCCTGACAATCCTCAGGTAATTGTTCAATTATTCACTTTAATCTCGTCTCGATTTAAATCAATTTTAACTGCTTTTTTATTGTATCTAATATTATTTTTTATATGAAATAGGTGAAAGAAATTAGATGTATTGTAATGGCACCACAATGGGGAACTCATCAAATCGTTCATTTGCCAAATACACTACCTAACCATCAGTATTTGAAGGAGATGGAGCCGCTAGGATGGATACACACGCAACCTAATGAGTTGCCGCAACTCTCACCGCAGGACATATCCACTCACGCCCGGATTATGGCGGAAAATTCCATCTGGGATGGCGAGAAGACTATCGTTATCACTTGCAGTTTCACGCCCGGCTCCTGCTCCCTCACAGCATACAAGTTAACTCCGAGTGGTTTTGAATGGGGTAAACAGAATACTGACAAAGGCAACAATCCTAAGGGTTACTTACCGAGCCATTACGAAAAAGTACAAATGCTTCTGTCTGACCGTTTTCTTGGCTTTTTTATGGTGCCCAGTCAAGGTTCGTGGAATTACAACTTTATGGGTGTCAGACACGATCCTAATATGAAGTATGAGTTACAACTCGCAAATCCAAAGGAATTCTATCACGAAGTGCACAGACCGGCCCACTTCCTCAACTTCTCAAGTTTGGAAGACGGTGAAGGCGTCGGAGCTGATCGAGAAGACATGTTTGCGTAAACTTTTATGTAACAGGTTTTAACTGATAGAATGATTGAAAGAAGTGCAGAATGTGTATAAGCAGCGAGAATACATCGTAATGCTCTTTATTTTTTATTTTTTCGTCGTATAGTATACGTAGACGATTACAAACACACATACATGTAATAGTAATATGAATACAGATTAAGTCATATATTTAATGATTACAGATTTGTAGATTTTGAGTGAATTCTACTTTTTTTCTCCCTGTGTCGTGTTGTAATTCTATCCACTTGATTTTCTATATTTTGATTTAATTTTATAAGTGTTCTATAGAAAGACGCGATTATTAAATATTAGATAATTGTTCATAATGGCACATGTATAGGAATATTTTGTGACTATATAAAAGCAGTGAAGATCAATATTCTATATGTAATATACAATAAAAATGAAATGTAATTTCCAGAAAAGTTCATCAGCAAATACATTTTATAATCAACAGAATTTTAAATTAAATATGAAGATGCTTCATTTAAAGATGTTTCAACTTGGCATAAAGATTTTCAAGGTACATACATATTGTAATACTATCACATGTATATGATAAAATATACGATTGATTTGACGTAAATCGGTCGATTTGCATCGCACATTTGTTATGCGACAAAATATTTTAAAAATCATTTTATCTATCTAAATATACATTTAAAAATGCATACATTCATTACATATGTTTTTTTTTAATTTGTTTAATAATAAACATTCGTGCGTGGAAATGTAGACCGTGTCAATACAAAATTTATATTCAAATAAATATTAAAAAAAAAAATAATCTAATATAGTTATGCACACGAGCGATATTAGAGTTGAAATCAAAATTAGTAAAATTAATCGTAGCGTTTTTATCAAAATGTTATCGCTAAAATACGTATGTATAAAAAAAAATAACGTATCCATTTATGTTAAAGTAAAATTTATACAAAATTATGCATATGGCAGTTAATATATGTGATATATAAGATGCTTTTATCATTTTAATGAGAATAAGGATAGATGTAAAGTAACTTAATTAATTCTTTTAATTCTCTTTGGACTGCGAAAGACATAAAAAAATTATGTAGATACTTCTTTTAAAGAAATAAAAAAAGAAAAAAAATGGAAAGATGAATTACCATTTTGGTATTCCAAATCCAAGAGATCAACGCAAGTAACGAAAAATTTATTCTCGATTGGAGAATTAAATCACGGCACCACAGTTAATTGCTGATAAATCATCAATTTCTGATCAACGTAGAGAAATCCTCTCATGTTGCAACACTAAGGATCAGCCTCATCGGATGAACTCTTCGCGCGACAATTTGTTTGCACGTAGGGGCTGATTTTCTCTTGCAAGGGCATCACCCCTTGTGATGTTGTGGTAGTGCAAGTACGTGAGGCTGTGCTGTGGCAACCACTATGTGTCGAGTTTCTGGAGAATAGACCATTTTCCTGACAACCGAATCGCTTTAACAATAACCGCTTGATCTTTTCCTTCCATACGAATATGATGAAGATGATGAGGCCTTGCAATGTGTTTGTCAGATCGGTAAGGTACCAAAGATATCGCGGCTCATTCTTGAACAGCCATGATATTATCTCCATGGACCAGTTTATGCCCATCACGATGAACAACTTCAGATACAAATTGAACCTATAAACAAATATATAGTTATACGTTTTTATATCTTCTACAATTCAGAAATACTTAAAGAGATGTGAATGAAATACTAACAAAACTACTTAAATTAATCAATATTTAACAAAGATAGATGTCTTCGAAAAGTCATTAATTAACCAAGTCTCGAGCAAAAAGATAAGAAGAAAATTGTCCAGTTTTTCTTAAGAAGTTTTAAGGAAATGTGATTTTTATCTTCATGGAATAGGGGCCAACCACTTTTCTATTCGCACGATCGTTTGTCATTCTTTCAAGAATCGCAGACGCTCGAGGAATCTCGTATGCGCGCGCGATCAAAACGGCGGCGACGTGTTTGTTTCTTCAAAAGATTTCGTAATTATGAAAGCAAACCACCGCATGGGAAAGTTGCTGTCTAAAAATAATCATCTCACTGGGAACGAGGACCGATCGACATTATGCAAAACCGTTCGAAAGCGGATATGTCGGTATATATCATATCAATACAATTGTCACATATTGATGCAAAAATGCTTGTGTACGAACCATTGTTTATTGTCATCATGGCGTCTACTTTCTGAACTTCTCAAGTGATGAGCCGTATCCTTTCTGTGACGCACAATTTTTAGTGCTGTGGAGACAAATAAGCAAATGTTGCAGATAACGGTAACAGTCATTGGTCCGTAGAAGTATAATGCCTTCGCTTCGTCCGCTGAAAACGGAAAATTATTTTTTCATATTATATTTCGTATTTTGTAAGTACATAAAATATATTTTTTCACTTTAATATTTCTTATATTTGTATATTTTATGTTCACATAGTGATTAATGAAACATCGCTATATTTGTTAACTTATTTGTTAACCACTTAATTAACATTTACTTACTGGTGAACCAACATCCCAATTCACCGAATTGCGGACGAATCAATTCCTTTGGTACGCTAGGAACGAAATCCATGATGGCACAGATGATGGTGAAGACGGAAGCTGTTCCCCATGCATAAATCGAATACATCACAAATTTTCTTTTCTCTCGTTGCTTCACACTTCCTTGTAACGAGCGGAATCCTCTGCGAAACATGATTTACATATTGTATTGAGCCAACAACAAGTAGAACAGGTCACTATGCAAATGCACATTAAAATAATTATCGCCTTTAGCCACGGTTCTCGGAAATGGCCAACGTGCAACTATTTTGTTTAGTATATTCTGTATATTCTATATATCTTCTGAGAGCGATAAATAGAAAATATTTTTAATTGTAAAGGTTTTTACATACTATAATAATGATGTTTTTTGGCAAGTTAACAAATTTATCTTTATAATTATAACAATCAGTATAATATGCCTGATATAAACATGGAATATAAGGAGTGGATGTGTTGAGCTACATGGATAATGGATGATAACATACAAGAACCAAGAGATACCATATTTAGATTAAGTACTGACTAAGTACTATTAAAACTATGTAAACATACACACACATATATATATATATATATATATATATATATATATATAGATATATATGTGTGTGTGTTAAATCTTTTTGAACACAAAGATGATTCATATTTCCGTGAGGATTTCCGCGGGTGGGGACGATAATAATGTCGCACATGATGCGTGCACGTAATAAAGGAGGAAATTAATCCGTTTCCAAGTACGATCCATTGTACGTGCGCGCGCGACGCTCTTGTAATTGATTACAAGAGAACGCACAATGTGCGTACACAGCAGTCGTCACACCCTTGTAGCAGGGTGAAACGGGCTTGGCGACAGCAGGCTAGTTTCATCTCCGCGCGGGAATGGTAAATAGCGACACGACAACATTGCGTCATGAAATTTCATTGACACGCGAGAGATAATAAATTACCTTGTAGTATCCCACATGAGCGCACATAATGAGGAAGGAATAAAATAAAGGATGCGCGTATCGCGTGACGCAGGCGCGACCAAAAACGCATGATCTATATTAAGATAACGTTAAATAACTATTAAATTGATCACCGCAACACGGATGATGATTTATCTACTTGTATCGCGCAATTCTTTCTTAATTCCATTTAAGAGATACATTCTTTTTAGAATTCTGTCGTTAATATAAATAGGATTGTATATTCATAGTATTAATAGGTATTCGTAGATAAATTCTGTATTCATATTCACGCCGTTCGTGATCGTCGCGCTGTTCAAGGATATACTCTACTGACATTTTCCGTTCACCGAATATTGCCTGTCTGAATGACTTCTTTAGACCGACGTCCGACCGCGAAGGAGATCAAAATTAACTCGGCTGTGTTTGCGCCACATACGCGCGTCGGTCACGTACCGGATATTAATTCGCGTCCTGTCGCTATCAATTTCCCCCAGTGTTTGTCAATTATCAAATTTCTCTGCCACAAGCGCCGGATCGAGTGGCGCTTGTGAAAATATTTGGCGAATCAATTAACTCATTTTGACCTAGAAGTCGATCTCTGGAAATGTTTTATCCTTGGCAAACCGTAATTGATATTTCAATCATAACTACAATTATATAAGTAGTCAATCATATATATAATAAAATTGGGATGGCTTTTTCAAACGATTATCTTCGAAATATATATATATATATATATATATATTCGAGACATCTTCCTCCATCTCGTTCAAGAAATATCACAAAATCGCTTTTTGAGATCTGTCAAATGAATTCGATTGGAGATGAGATATAGCATGGAATATTTTAGTACCTTACCCAAATGTCCACCAAATGTCGAAGCACATTACATTTAGCCAGAAGAAGCTTGCCAAAAACGAGAAGTGGATGATAAAGGCTGAAACAGTCGAATAAACAGCATGTCATTATGCGTGCATTAAAATGCGGATAATGAGGCTTATATCCTACTACTTGTAAGTCCGTCTCCTTGTAAAATAACAAGTTTAATCCATCTTTTTTTGCATCAGGAATTTTTAAACCAAAACGATAAACCTTGAAAATAATATGAGCTATAATGAATTAAATTTCGATTAAAGTTATGATCTGTACAAAATCTTGAGAAACAGGAAAAGAATAATATTTGTCCAAACAGACTTTCGAGTAGATTTTGTTTATAAAGGTTAAATAAATTTTATTCGCTATTCGTTTAATCGTTTTTCTTAATAATTTTAATTTATACATCTAAATTATCAAAAGGAGAAAAAGAAAAAAAGAGTAACTAACACGCGAGCATACACTGATAAGGCTAATAAGTGTATAAGTGTATATTGCATTATTAAATAGGTATGCTGTACCCATTGCGATGCAGATGGAATCCGATAAGAGATCTTGTTTGATTAACTGAATGACCGCAAGGACCGTGTACGCAACAAATAATGAACCGATGTATCCACGCAGCGTATAGCCATGCATGTTCCAAAGTTCCGGCAGTATCGTGTACACCACGAATGTTGTCAGTAAAAATGGCAAGGACACTATCAGACCTATGGGAAAACCGTATACCTGTGGTTGCTCGATAGTTTCGCTTTCCGAAGGCTCGAGGCAAACTAATATATCGTATTTGTCGTCTAAGACGGCGAGACAGTATTCAGTAAACTTTTTGAAATATGGTTGATACAGAGAGCCGTTGATGAAGAACACATAGTCGTCCTCTTTATATTTATCGGGTTCAAGCGGAAAGCGATCGAGATTTTGACAGGGATCATAGATGGTTAGTCTGTGAAATGCTTGGTCCAACTTCTCGGATCTCCTCTTCGACGGATCGTCTATTGCCTGTTCGTACATATATATATCCGGGAAAGGATAATTACCCCCTTCAGCGACGCATCGGTTCTTGATTAAGCGACTGCCGAGAGGACAGCAAAACTGAATACAGTTATCATTGTCGCATGTTTCGTAAGGGACAACATTTTTTTCAATGTCTTTTCCATTGGTCTCTTCGAGAGGTATATATAACGTAAAATTATTTCTTTCTTCGACTTGCATCAAATCTCCATAAAGTTTACGTGATGTAGAATTGTACTTATCATCGATCTTTGTAGAATTCAAACCAAGTCCCAACGATATCTCATCGTTGTGATCTTTTGTGGAATGTGAGTGAAATTCATGCTGTATCGAATCATCGTCCTTATCACCGTAATAGTCGTCGTTGTAATCATTCTTGGTAGAATTTTCACGCACGTTATATCGTACCAACTGTTCGTTGCCATTACGATTCGTCGTGGAAATATTAGCATGAATTTCATATTGCATCGTAGAATTGTTATTTTGCTCGTAGCTCGTCGTCGTGGAATTTCCCCGAGGCTCAGAGGAAGAAGCGACGAACAAAAGCGCGCAACACCAAAGCACGAGATTTTGTCGGCGCATCGTCGACCCGGCACGTCGAATTTACTGAACCGCCCCGGTTTCTCTTATAACTCCTAGTCAGATGTCCACTGACCGCAACGATATCAAACTAAACGGAAACGAGGATACGCGTGATATCGTTGGTCTGCGACGATTTGGCCACGACTGCGACGTTTTTGTCCCGATGAAAGACGAACCTGCTTTGCAGCGAAAGTATAGACCAAGAAGAAAAGGCGAAAAAGAAGACACCTCGTTAAAGCAGGTCCTCTTTCGGCTAAGGATAATAGCAGAACAACGAGGGAAGATCCTTACCGATCCTAATCTTAATCCTTACCGATATTCGAATCTCAGTTTATTTTCTGGAGCGTTTAGCTTAAAGAATGCATGGTACATGTGTAATTGAATGCTCATTTCCATTTATTTGTTTTTAAGGGCTTTTAATACCTTTTCAAGTCTATATAATACACGCGTTTCCGACTCGCCTTACAGTCGGGATGAGTCATTACGATTAATGTCTGAGTACTCTATCTGTCAATGTGTAATCAAATTTTAAAAAAATTTTTAAAGATTTATGATAATAAATCATATCATATATTAAATCTATCCAATATCAATCTTCATTAATTATCTTCATTAAATTCTATGATAAGAACCAATTAAACTTGATGTAAGTTGCATCATACATTTTCAGGTTTAAGTATTTGAAACGTATAATATGTATATTAATCTATCCAATATCTATCTTCATTAACATTGTTGAAATGAAAGAAGCAAGCAATTACATTGAGTATCAAGGCAAACTTAGAAACAACAAAATAAAAGAATGTTCATATATTTTTAGTGGCATAATTATATAATCATAGCATTCTTACAGCAAAAAAACTATTTTTATCATGCTTTGAGTATTATAGACAAGTTACAATGTTATATGTTATGATCAATGAATATTATAATCAATGTTGTACAATAATAAATTTTTTAAATATCAATATTGACATTTGCAGGAAAAAATAGAGATATTACGGGAGCAATTTAGAAAGTTGTCTCGCACTCGCACAAGCGGATCTCTCGTTAATTCGCAGGATTTTTAAAACCACATTTCATCCGGTCTGACGCAGTCTCTGTAAAGATATGCGAGATATGTTGCACATAACACATATGGTGTGTGTGTGTGTGTGTGTGTGTGTGTGTGTGTGTGTGTGTGTGTGTGTGTACATATAAATTAATTGCAAAAAATTATTACAATTCGGGAACCAAAGCGGGAACCAAAGCTGATGCAATCTCTCTGAGATTAATTCCACATAATGGTGGTTTCATTCATTTCAGGCTAGCATTAATCTTCTTTGCATTAATGCATTCAAACACACAAAAAAAAAGAAAACATAAGTAATAGAAAACGCATCATTCTATGGATATACCGAATACGATGCAGATGTCGTTTGGGATTTGTTCCTGCGGTGTCAACTGCATCACTCCCAGCATGCTGTACGCCATTGCCAAGCAACCGACGTATCCGCGCAGGGTCAGGCCGTGCAAATTCCTTAGGTCGGGCAGCAACCAGTAGACGATATACGTGGCAACTAGGAACGGGACGGACGCGAGCATCCCGTAGGAGTATACGACCTCACCATTGGCGTCATCGATCGAATTTTCCTCGCAGAAGAATACTAGGTATTCTCGAAACTCATAGCTTCTCACTCGCGCCAAGCAATACTGATGATAGTCGAGGATGCGTTCCTCTGGCTCCTCGGAAAAAGGTCGCAGGATGGAGCCGTTGGACAATAGGTACCATTTGTCGTCATTATAAAGGTACGGATTTAAAGCATACCGTTTTGCACCGGCACAGGGATTCCATATTACAAAATTAAAATATTTGTTGTTCGCAGTGATGTTTGCCAGATCAAGATCGACTTCGTAGATCGCCGGCAGTTGCACCGCTTCCGTCCCGTTCATAATCGCCTCCACGCAGTCATCTCCCGCAAGGAAAGTGCCGATGCGACAGCATAGCGAAACGTAGGGCTTTTCGGAGCCATCACCGTCGATGTCGGTCGTTTTCTGGAGTAGAGAGCCAGAGGGAACCAAGACAAATAATGTTAACCCAGGATTGGACATAGAAGCGAAAAGAAACCAAACACCATGGATTTTTACATCTCTGCTATTGAATATGTGAATTCGTATGTGTAATAAATTATGCATAATCGGATCAATTTCTGACACTCTCTTTTTCTCTGTCACACTTTTTCATAAAAAAATTATTTTATTTTTAAATTCAAGTTATCGCCAAATTCTTTTATATATAATTATTCAAATATCATTCAGCATTTTGATATTGGTTTCTTTCTGCGTGTTATATCCCTGATTACAGTTAGTCGACAAAATTATGTACAACCATTATGTGAATAGATTAATCTCTCACTGACAAAGAATTACCATAATAATAATCTGTTAGCAGCATATTTACGTCATTTCTGTTTTGTGTAATTTCGTTATATTTGGATTGTTCAATTATGTGTTTACGTTTAATAAAGCTGATGTATTCAGGATTTGCATTTGCAAAATGCAAATTCTGAAAATAAAATTGATTAATTACGAGAGAAACATAGATGATAAATAATCGTCTCTGAGATTATTATATTCATAAACACTATCATTTAAGAATCCATCATCATCACAAAATTGTTACAGGTATTAAGTATCATTAAAGCATATCACGACACGCAGTAGTGAAACGAAACAGAAATTGATCTCAATGTCATATTCCGAATACAATACAGAGTGCACGAGAACTTGGAATTATCTCTACCTTCAAATAAATGACATGAGGAATGGTAGAATGTTTCTTCCATGATTCCTCTGGCTCTTCCTCCACTTGGTGGTCGCTTTCGAGAGCGGCAACCGCGATCAAAATCGCGATGAACGCAACGAACAAGGCTGTTTTCGGATGCCGTTTCATTATGTACTAATTTAATAAGGCTGCGCTGAACTCGGAATTATTATCATCGCCGCTTCAGCGTTATCGCCTTGTGGAAGCTTACTCACAAAAGTGCCACAAGAAATGGCGGAAGAGAAAAAGAAAGAGACAAGAAACGCGATGACTGAAGGAATGTGTAGCAAGCTTCTCTCCATGCCCCATAAAAAATAAAATTAAACAATTAATCTTTTATTACTCGATCATTTTGCCAAATCTTGTGAATCCGATGAACCAAGCTCAATTAAGAAAAAAATGATAAAAGAGAGTGCGAATTTTAATCAATATATAGTGTAACAGCTATAGATAGCATTTTTAGCCACGCGAAATATAGTTATTTACAAAAAACATCCACAGATATGTACAGATATGTACACCACGTTAGATGATAAACGATTACATAAGTAAATATGTCAAAGTTGAAGAATTGTTTCAAATATTACCCGTTCGAATATTGTAAAATTTTTGTTTTTCTTAAATCATTATTTTTAAACAAAAGAAACATTTTAATGAAATGTTAATTAATAATTAAGATATACAAATTTATATTTATAATTAATTTATATATGTGATCATAATTCTCACTTCATAAAACGTATACACGTAAATATGTAAGTGACAATCTCAGAGTGTTTATACACAGCGAAATGTTTGTACAGTTAAATCATCAGAACTGATACAGACACGACGAACACTCGATCATCCAGTGTCGTTTTGTTAAATAAGCAAATCTAACCGTAGAGAAGTAGAAAAGTATTTTTACCTGCTTTATAATGCTGCAAATAATATTCTATTACATTATTACATATTCTGCAAATACTATTGCAAATACTATGATAATCTGATGGCAATCAATGATTCAATTGATCCAGCTGTGAGAAACTGTGAGAAAGAGGCGTGTATTCAAATATGTCAGAATATGAATCAAGATTTACGTCAATGAAACGAGTTATCGACGTACGCGATATAATTAAGTAATTTATCTGAGAGAACGAAGTAAACGCGCGAGAGAAGGTGAAGTTATAGCGTAATTTCTCTTTCCTTTCCTTTCTTTTCGGACGAATCGTTGAAACATGAAAAATTCACCCAGGTTCAAATATAGCACTGTTATCACTAACGATTACGTTGACTTTCAGCTATCTCGCTGGACTCGATAAAGCTAGTGCTGTGTACGGCTTCGCCGAAACTTTTTCTGGACGGATGAAAGAAGAGCGCGCGAGACATGCTTATACTCGCGCGAGCAATGACGCGAGACTACCGGACAACGAGGCATCGACGGTGTTAGAGAAGCAGCGGCCTACCTGCTGCGAAGCCGGGTATACAGGGCGGTTCGAAAAAAAGGTTTCATTGATAAACTTGTATGTTTCGCAGACGCGATAGCTCCACGGAAATCCAACGGCAATGTAAATTTAGACGCTTGGATTGTTTGGATATTTTATGCTCCCATGGAGAGCCATCGTATTTTCGAGAGGACTACGAAAACTGAGAATAGATTTGCGCGATGATCGGATAACGCGAGCGAACGATGAAAATTTCAAGTTACACCAGGTGTTACTTTGTATACGCCCGAGAGATTTATCTCGGAAAGCTATTAATCGATAGTACGGAAGAGTGCAGAAAAAGTTTCGATGGTTCTCTCGTAACGAGCCTTTCGCATTTTATCGCATTATCTTTCTACGCTCCAGAAAAGAAATAAATTATTGAAAATCGAAATAATGTTATTCGTCCGTATTTTACCGTTATTCGCGTATATATTTTTATCCCACCCTATAAGTAATGATGATGCTCATGATGAATATGAGGGTACGCAACGAAACATTACGCAAAAACCGGTTTGCAGACACTCGTCGCTTGTGTATCTCGCATCACACTCATTGGGGGAATCATTAACATTTGTTTTACGGGAAATCGAAGATAGTGATAGTTCATGAGGCGCCGACGGGTTCTTCTTGGATCAGACCCTTGGATCTCGACTTTCCTCGTTGAAAGCACCTTCTTGCCCGATCTCGCCTTGTCCTTCTCGAAATATCGTAGAACCAATTCCAAAGATTAAATCATATCAGGAAGCGTGATATGTGGTTCTTGCGCATCATTACTAATGATAGAGATATCGGAATCGCGCGTGCAGAAAAAAAAGCATGCTTACGGCTGATTCATTCACAGCTCATGTGTAGTCACCTATTTATGCTTCATATTAGTGGCTGGAATTGAGTGATAATACCTATTTTACATGATAACATGATATATATGTATGTATTTATTTAATTTAATTATAAAATAAAAAAATTGATCTTTATCTATAAATCTATAGTGCGATAGATTCAATTGTCATATTTATAAATCTATTAAAGAATAGTACAATACATTCATTCGATAAAATATAAAATTGTTTAAAGAAATTTTTGCGATTAATATGTAAATTAATCAATTCAGTTTATAATTATATATACAATGATTACGGATACAAGTTTTTATAATTATATATAAATTTTTAGGATCCTTTTTCAGAATAGAGTCATTATCATAAATCGATAATAATTTTATTCATGATAGATGATTATTCTTAAAAGTAGGAAAAAAGATATAAGATATAAATAAAAATCTAAATATAAAAAATAAACTATGATTATAAGAGATTTGAAGATTCTTTATATGGAGAAACCTCCTACCTAAATATAGAATATTAGTATCAAATAAATATTATTCTCGAAATAATTAAACATTTGAAATATGTATAAATAATTTTTAAAACGACCAATACTTGCTAGAAATATCCAAGTACTAGGAGTGTTAATAATTATTACACATAATGTAATTATTTAATTATTCGTTATAATTTTTTTATTATTCACATTTGCGCGTGTAGATACTCTTTCAAGATAATATTCCCAAGTTCATCGTTTTGCATACAAGTAAAAAGTAAAAGATAATGTAAAACGTGACGCAGACTTGATTTGGAAATTAAATTATATTGACTTAGTATATGATGCGGTCATTCAATCTTTCCTGTATTACATACGATAAAATAATGTCGCAAAATAATTATTTTTCAACTCTGTTCAGATTATGTTCCAAGATCACATTTTTCTGATCATGACAAACTGATCAGACAAACTTTTGCGGCTCAAATTACAAAATGTAGTTAAATGTTAATTGTTACCAAATGTTAATTGTTGCAGTTAATAGATACACGGAGAAGTTACTGCTTACCTGTTGTATAGCACAAAGCGCGTATCGGAGACATGTAAATATAGTTGACCAAGATCAGGAAGACGTAGGCTATGATTAAACACATTACATAGCACATGAGAGTCTTGCCGTAAAGATTTCTCAATTCGGGAGTAATCGCGTACACCAGGAACGTGGTAACGAGAAATGGAATGGATATCATGATACCCACATGATGAACCATGTGTTCTTTATCTCTTTCCTTCGAGAGTACTTCGACATCGGTTTGTACGTCTGGCGTGAGGCAAGCCAAGATGCCGATTTGATCGAAAGTCACCTGCCAATCGATGCAATAATTCCAGAATGGAAAGAGTTTCCCGAAGGTATTCACGAGACTGCCATTTGTCTGAAGGATGACTTTATCCTCGTCGTAATCGTCGGCATTAAGAACGTACGTGTGACCGGGGCAAGCGTTATTCTGTACCAAGAGGAAGTGCTCTCTCAGCGTCTCAATGTGTTGAATCTCCTCGGTCATTTGATATATCGGTAGACGCAGATCCGGCATCGCGGTTACCGACTTGGTATCGTTTTCGGGCATCTCTTGACATATCGCTTTCTTCTCCGGATACTTGCGGAGAACTTGATCGTCGCGGCAACATTTTCTGATGCATCTGCGCAATCTACAGATGCAACCATAAGTAACATTGCCATCAGACCAACGTTCTTCAGCGGAATATTCGATGCCATCGTGGAAGAAGCTGCTGTTGTTTTCCAACGATTGCGGTACTGTATCGGTGCCGCCGGTACCGTTCTCCAAAGGGAGGATCACGCTAAACGACGGTGAGCAACGCGGATCCTCCCTCGATGGTATATTGACGGCGCCGCTGGCCGTCAAGAGACCACACGCGGCGAGGAAGAGCGCCGAATTGAAACTTAAATCAGAGCGGCCACACATCGCGACAAGGGCGTCGAACAGCGTAAACTATCGGTCGCAACCCGCCCGGAGATTATCCGCGGCGGCTTTGCTTCGCGCCCCCGGCGTTTAGCGCCCATCATTTCTGCGTCGGAGGATGCGCGCCGCGACGCTTCGCCGTGACGCGCTTCACCGCGACGCTTCGCACCCACGCGTCGACAAAATTTCGCTTGTTAGAAGCATATTCTCGGAAGGAAGAACCGTGTCTGCCTGTTTCCGCACGTATTGAGAAGTTTGGCGCCACTTGGAACATCAATCAGAATCTAATCTCATCTTTTTACTTTTGACTTTTAATTGTTAAAACAATTAAGACAATTTTGTAGAATGCGGGCGGGAATAACACATCAAAAAAAAAAAAAAGAAAAAAAC